TCTCTTTCGTTTGTATTCTATTCTATCCACAACTCTCCTCCAATTTTTCTCGCGTTTCGCGTGCCACGGTTAAAAAAAGGAAAAGAGAAATCAAAAAAAGAGAAAAGAATTTTATTTCCAACAATGTTTTTTCTTTTTTTTAACGATTTTCTAATTTTTACGCGATTTTTGTTTTTCTTTCCTTAACGTCTATCTTTTTTTATTTATTTATTTATTTAAAAAAAATTTCTCTCTCTCTGTCTCTCTCTCTCTCCCTTTTAATTTTTCAATTGGAAATACGAAACGTGAGAACGATCGATCGATTCAATTAAAAACTTGATATTGAAAGGAAAAATAAAAGAAAAAAGAAAAAAAAAGAAAAAATATTTGTTACATATATATATATATATATATATATATATATATATATATATATATATATTATTTTTTCAAGCTCACGTATACGCGATAATATATGTATATATATATATGTATTTCCAATAAATGATTACTCGAATAATAATTGAAACGACAATATTATGACAAAGTAATCGTGATTCCTGTAGATAACTTTTCTCTCCCCCACCCTCTTTTTTTCTCTCTCTCTTTCTCTCTCTCTCTCTATCTATCTCTCTAATTTCTCTATCTCTTTATCTATCTCTTTCTCCCTTTAAAATAATCTCGACATAGAAAACGATGGTATAACAAACATAGCGTATATTTAATCGAACGAATCCCTATTTAAAATGATTTCAGATATTCGTTTTTGGTGAGCTATGTAGATGACGTCATTAAACACGTTTATAGGTGCGAATTGAACTTTAATCGTACGTCCCGTATGCGTTCGCTTATTGCGAAAAAGAGACAAGCAGATATAGAAAGAAAGAGAGAGAGAGAGAGAGAGAAAGAGAGAGAGAAAGAGAGAGAGAAAGAGAGAGGTAAAAAAAGAGAAAGATTTTTGTTCTTTTTTTTTCCTTCTTCTCTTTTTTCCTTTTCTCTTTTTTTTTTTTCTTTTTTCTTGTTCTTTTTTTTGCCATTCCCTTCTTTTCTTCTATATGACAAATATTTGCATAAATTAAAAATCCGAAATACGTGTAATATGGAGATCGAGAGTAATAGAAAATTACGTAAAACGATTCATTTGAATTATTGATGATACATTTAATGTATGACAATTCGTTGAAAGTCGTTTAAGCTTTTTTCACATTAATTTTGTTTCTATGATCGACAAGACGATAATCCCACGTTTAATGTCCCATCAGGGAGAATTAGCTAAATTGCGTTTAGAGATATCAATCTCTTTTCTTTTCTTCTCTTGTTTCTTTCTTCTTTTCTTTTTCTTTCTCTTTTTTTTTTTTTTCTTCCTTTTCCTTTATTCTTTTTACGTGGAGACACGCGTATTATAAATCGTATATGGATATATTATTTGAAAGGATCTAACACAAGGATCGATCGATCGATCTCGAAGTAAAATTATTTTTATAGTAAGATTATTATATACATATATATATATATATATATATATATATATATTTTTTTTTTTTCTTTTTTTATAGTAAAATTATTTTTCAGGAGGCAGAAACGAGACTCGATTGACGACACGCAAATATGTATATCAGGGGAGCTAAAAGGCAAAATAATAATTCTCTTTCAGTTTAGATATTCATGAGTGTTTCGACGATATAAAAAAGAAAAAAAAGAAGAAAGAAAAAAAAAAGGAAAAGAAAAAAAAAAGAAAGAAAGAGGAGAAAAAAAAAAAGAAAATAGAAAAAAGCAGACGAGGACAAAAAAAGAAAGTGAAAAAGAAAAGGTAACATGACAGATACGATCGATCGTTCGATTTCAATCGAAGATTCGAACTAAAAGTCATTTTTCATGAGACAAGTGCATACACGATTAACGATTTATAATAAAGGGATACGTGTAACAGAAATAAATGCTTTGGAAATTAAATGGGATATATTATTATCTGTCATTTAAATATTTACGATTTGTCGTTGCGCACGACGAAAAAGAAAAAAAAAGAAAAAAGAAGAAAAGGAGAAAAAAAAACAAAAGAAAGAAATGAAATAAAAGAAAACGAACGTTTTCGTATACAATAAGGAGTAGTAGGAAAAGAAAAAGATAAAGAAAAAGAAAGAAAAGGAAAAAGAAAGAGAGAAGGAAAAAAAGTAATATGACAAACATAATCGATCGATCTATTTATTCTATTTGAAAATTTGAATTAAAATTATTTATGAGAAGTTGACAAAAAGAGAACATCACGATTGGCATCACGTAAATCTGTTCGATGTGCATATAAAAGAGATCAACGGAGAGCTACAACTAACTGGATATATATAATTCTCTTTTTGTTTAGCGTTTCATGCATTTTTGCATAAAATAGAGAGAGAGAGAGAGAGAGAGAGAGAGAGAAAAAAAGAAAAAGAAACTAAGAAAGAAGGTGAAGTCACGATATCTGCGATAAAGACAAAGAAGGAAAAAAAGAAGGAAATATGACAAAAAGAGACTGATAGAGGAC